TTATTCCTATCCAATAAATATGCAATAAAGGAAGGCAATCTTGCTAAAATATTTTTTATAGTATTCCCAATTGAATTAGTTGTATTTTTATCTTGCCATGCAATTGTGTTTCCTATTTTATATTTCGTTTTGTCCGAAAGAATATATTGAATATTATAATATGATTTGTATGAATTTTTCCTTTTTATTTTTTGTGCAATAACTATACCTTCAGGAGTATTACTACTATTCTGGTTATAAAGAAGAAATAAAGTATTTGTAGAAGCACGTGCACTACTTAAGAAGTAATTCAATAAACATTTACCTGTATGATTTTTATCATTGTGATGTTTCTTAAATATTTCATCCAATTCGGATAATATAATAATTGGCTTGTTTTTTTTCGAGCACATTATAATATTATTTTTTAAATAAAAAAGTCCTTTAATTTTAGATTTTAGTTTGGCATCTATTCCAGGAATATATAAAAAAGAAATTTGAAATTAAGTAAAAAAAAATATTCTAAATCTTCACTTCCCCCCCCCCCTTTATAATTTTTTTATCTTTTCCTTTTTTTGATGATAAAAAAATTTTTTCTTGGAAACATATTTTTAGAAAATATTCCAAAATTGAAAGAATATGTTTGTTAGTATTTTTATCATTAATCATTTCCTTAAAAAATAACAGACATCCTCCCATATATAATTTTTATATTAAATAAAATGGAAATGACATTTAATAATATTATTAAAAATTTTAAAAATATTTTAAAATAGAGAAGGAGAAAGAGGAAGATAAGAAAAAAGGAAGCATGTGTTGTTAAAAGCTACTTTAAAAATAGCGCACCTATTTTACAAAAAAAGAAGCGCGCTATCGCATGGCCAGTTGAAATATATCATGTTTAGACTGGGGCAGAAAATCAACTTTTATATAAACTCATCTAGCTCAAAAACTATCATAGATGCTCCAATTTTATTTTAGAGATTAAGGATTGAGCTACACATTTACATTAAATTTATTTGATATATTACCGTTATGTTTTTTCATGTTGAAGCTACTAGTCTTGTTTGATGATAAAACCTTCTATCACATCTTACGGCAAAAATTTATACCCTGTGTTAATTTTTTTATCGAGAATTAATAATTTTAAATTGGAAAAATAATCTAAAAGATGTTTGAAGATGCAAAGCATTCATAGCATTTTTTGGGACTATATCAACCATAGTTAATCTTTTATACCATAGTTGGCATTCAGCTAATAAGGTATCATAAGATAATTTAACATCTTCATGATAAAAATTTCTATCACCATCTGAAAAAGGTTGGGAAGGTTTTTGTGGAAGTTATATCTGCAGATTGGTAAGTGCTGCCGGATGAATTAAAAACCGTTCATTTATTTGGGTTATAAATGTATCTAAGAGAGGGATAAAGACATTTATTTTATAATACTTTTCTACTTACCCTATATTAATGTTTGGACGATGAGTTTGTCTTGCTGCAAATCGAGGGAGACAAATATTAAACTCGTATAGCTCTGCCTTTGATGCAACAATATATAAAATATGAAATTCTTCATCAACAATAGCCCTAATTTCCTTGAGTTCTAAAAAAATGCTCTCCGCTACTCTCATCGTCTCAATCAAGTCAATGTCATGTTTTTTAAAAGTATTACATAAAATATTTGTATAATTTGGTATAAGGATTTAATCCAATAATTTGCTTGCTTCTGAGGAAATATCTCTTTCAGGCCATTGTGATATTTCAGTAAGAGCATTAATAATCGTTTCTTCTTACTCCATAAAAGCTGTTACTGCTTGATGGCGAGGACTCCATCTCGTTGGACAAGCTTTTTGCAATTTCTTTCTCATTGTTGGACAAAGAGTTTCAGAAATAATTCTGTTTAAAATATTATGTTGCTTGGGGTTTTCCATTAATGCAGAATCCCCTAATGCTTTAAATTTTACAAGACCACAAAAATTATCTTCATTATCTTTATTATTGAAATTCAAGCTTATTGAATCCAAATGGCTACGTAATGCTACCTGCAATCCACAATATAGAATGGCCTCTACTTAGTTTGATCTTACATCTATTTTCTTTTGCTATTTTATTTCTATTTTTGTCAGTATGTGATAAAATGGGAATCATATCCCCACTTTGAATTAATTTGAAGAAATCATCAGTTCACAGCTTTTGTGATAATTTGTTTTTTGATGAGTGTCAAAGATTTCTCCAGCATCTTTGTACTTGTTAAATGAAGTCTTAGCAAGACTGTTAAGCATAACTAAATTTCTTCCAGCACATCTTGGGTCAAACAAGATACATATCTTGCAGTAAGCTCCATTGTCTCGGATAGAGTATGCTAGCCATAACCATTTAGTAAAATAGCTGTTTTGTAATTTTAACTTTCGATTAGCACATATAATTTGTGGATATTAGGGTTGGAATATATATCTATTATTAAATAAAATATTTATCATAGGTATCTTTTATGCCTTTTTAAGAAGTATATGTCTTTCTTCTAGGCTAATTATAAAATGTTATAAAAGTAATTGTACTTTTTTGCTTTTTTGTAAGATTTAGGATCAATGTTTAAAAAATTTCTTATGTCCATAATTATTATTTGACTAGAAATTTGAAAATGATGGGTAAATATTACGCCATTAGAAATTTGAAAATAATAGATGAATTTACGCCAAGGAAAGCTTGAAATCGAAATTAATTGATAAAATAACTTAGTAAATGAATGTGATTAATTAAATATATATTTAAAAAGAAAGAGATAGGAATAAATATTATAAAATATAAACAAAAATATTTTTGAAAAATATATCCGGCATCTGCATTTTTGGCTTTGGGGGGGGGGGGGAGATTTGTCCCCTTGCCCCCCCCGCTGCTTACGCGCCTGCATCAAGACCAAGAATGAATATTTTCAGTCAAAATAAATTTAAATTAGCTTTTATTTGATATCCATATCGATATTTTATGTTTATAAAAATATTCCTTACCCCCCCCCCAAGACCAAGACCCACCTGCTTTAAGTGATTATTATTATTACAATAAAAAAATATTTTAATTACCTTTTATTTGATACCCATATCAAAAAAACTTATTTATTTTACTCCCCCCTCCCTCTTCATCCACCTCCCAGGCCAAGTCATACCCATCAAGACCAGAATGAAGGCTTTCAGTCAAAAGATATTTAAATTAGCTTTTATTTGATACTCATATCAAAAAACTTATTTTTTACCCCCCCCCCCTTCACCCACCCCCCAGAACAAGTCATACCCGTCAAGACCAAGAATGAATGCTTTCAGTCAAAAGATATTTAAATTAGCTTTTATTTGATACTCTTATCAAAAAAACTTATTTTTTACCCCCCCCCTTCACCCACCCCCCAGAACAAGTCATACCCGTCAAGACCAAGAATGAATGCTTTCAGTCAAAAGATATTTAAATTAGCTTTTATTTGATACCCATATCGATATTTTATGTTGATAAAAATATTCTTGACCCCACAAGACCTAGACCCTCCCACTGATTATTATTATTATTACAATAAAAAGACTTTTTAATTACCTCTTATTTGATACCCATATCAAAAAAACTTATTTTTTTACCCCCTCCCCCCCATTCCCTCTTCATTCCCCCCCCCCCAGACAAAGTCATACCCATCACGCCCAAGACTTTCAGTCATAAGAAATTTAAATTAGCTTTTATTTAACACCCATATCGATTTTTATGTTTATAAAAATATTCCTGACCCCCCCCCCCAAAACCTAGACCCACCCGCTTTTAGTGATTATTATAATTACAATAAAAAAAATATTTTAATTACCTTTTATTTGATACCCATATCAAAAAAACTTATTTTTTTACCCCCCCCCCTCTTCATCCACCCCCCAGACCAAGTCATACCCATCAAGACGAAGAATGACTGCTTTCAGTCATAAGAAATTTAAATTAGCTTTTATTTGACACCCATATCGATTTTTATTGTTATAAAAATATTCCTGACCCCCCCCAAGACCTAAACCCACCCGCTTAAAGTGATTATTATTATTACAATAAAAAAATATTTTAATTACCTTTTATTTGATACCCATATCAAAAAAACTATATTTTTACCCCCCCCCCTCTTTATCCACCCCCCCCCCCAGACCAAGTCATGCCCATCGAGACCAAGAATGAATGCTTAGAGTCAAAAGATATTTAAATTACCTTTTTTTGATACCCATATCAAAAAAACTATTTTTTAACCCCACCCCCCTCTATCCGCCCCCCCCAAGACCAAGTCATAACCCATCAAGACCAAAAATGAGTGCATAAATAACAATAAAATTAAAAAGAAATAAAACGAAACGCGCGTAAAACGCTTTTTAAAATAAGATTCCTCTTTATCACAGTAAAACGTGATAATACCTAATTATCATTCCTTAACTTAAAACCCTAATTTTTTAGTTATCCCTTTAAAACCCGTGAAGATCCCGGATAGTCATGATCCCTTTAAAAATTACGACATATATATTTATAAAAAAAATGTTAAAAAATGAATAAATGTTATTCAAAATATCCCAAATCATCATCATATTATTTTAAATCGCATGATAATAAAAACATAATATTCAATAATATCTCGCATAACTATAAAAAATGAATGATCGACACTCATATATATCATCATACATAACAAGGGTATATTTTTTAATTAGAAGTACACTGGTGGCTAATTTTATCGCAATTACAGCTATTAAATATAATTTTCTTACATGTTATTACAAATAAAAAGGTTGATCATAAAATACTAAAACATGTATTTTATCAATTTTATTCGACCTTTGCTATCTAATATACATTAAATTCTCTCCCACTTATAAATAAAATGGTGATTCAAATATAATTTAACGCTACTAATATTAGTGTTATTATAGAAGAGTAGTACGCATTATTGATAGGCACATTATTTTAATCTCATAGTTTAATATTAATCTTTTGTTTTTCTTGTTAAAAAACAACTTAAGGTATTGGTTGGACACGAGGATGCCGTCACTTGTGTAACTACTAGTCATAACAATCAAAAAGTTATCACAGGTGGAAAAGATAATACCGTTATTATGTGGAATATCGACACTGGTAGCACCTTGCAAACTTACGACGATCATACGCTCGATGTTACTTGTGTGGCTATAACTCAAGATAGTTCGATTATCATATCAAGTATATATTTATGGATAAGAATGTAGTATAGAGGTCAGCAATAGGCGGGCGGGACAAAAAAATTTAAACAGAGGGCGGGCGAGCGGGTTAATAATTTATAAATAATGGGCGGGTGGTTTATTTTTTAAAGAATCAACCGGTACTCGCCCATAAAAATTAAAATCTTTTTCATTTGTTTTATTTGGTAATATGATTTTTATACATTTATAATTATACAATGTGTTATATATATTATATATTGACCTGTGCGCCGGCCGGCTGTTGACCGGCTGCCGACTTTTTTGTTAAGCCGAAAACGCGATTTTCATATCGGCGTTTCATATTTTTATATTTAATTTTTTTTATGCCAATATCAGGATTTTGATGATTTCTTATTTCTACATATTTTAAAATCATAAATATATTAACGTCATTTTAGAATTCAATTAATCAAATATCTAAAATTTCAAACCTTAATTTTACATATTTTTAAATTGGATGCATCTACATTTAATAAATCTAAATAATTTTATTATTATAACAGTAAATAATAAAAATAAAAATCATTTGTGTGGAAGTTTTTTGGTTTTACACTTAAAAAGAGATACTAAAACAATTTTCATAAATTCTAACAAATTTTACTGTAAATGATGCTTATAAAAGGCTATTGTAGACGATGATAATTTAAATAAGCTTTCACGGTATATTTTTTTTTAATTTTATTTTCCATATTAAGCCAAAATAAATATATGTTTAGTATTAAAAACTTTTCAATCAACATTAGCATAGGAAATTTGTTATAACACTTGACTTCTGATCATAATATTAAAGATAATTCATCAAAATCGCAAGATTTAAAAAAATATTTTATATCCAAGCCAAAATTTCAGAAAAATTTAAAACCTATAAAAAATGGCTTCTAGCAAGAAACGGTGTGTTATTATGTTGTGCTGACTTATTACCTCCTTTTCAATCAATTGTTACATATACACTTAATTTAATAAATGATAATTTTGGAATGATTTACTTTACTTTAGCAACTCATTAGATAACCCAAAAACGCACAGGTGAGACTATTATGAGATAAATAAAATAGAAGAAGAATTTAATTTAAAAAAGAAAAAATATGAATGGCCACAGATGCTGGGTCTAATGTTAGAAAGGGTGTTCGATTAGGTGAATTAAAAAAGTTGTGTAAAAAATGATAAAATTGAGAAAAAGAAAATCCATTTCAGCATTAAGGAAATATATTATTTAAGATTACGTAAAATCTCGACTTAGAAATTCGGCGACTTAGCAATTCAACAAATAAGAAGTTTAACAAATATGAACACCACTTATGTTTGGGTCATTGTTTACACAATCTAGTTACAGTAGATGGTGTTTAAAAAGGTACCCTTTATTGAAAATCTCATCAAAAGAATTAGAGAAATTATTACTGCTCTATATAAAATTACAGAGGTTGAATTTGAATTCGAGACAGATCAAAGAAAATGCCTTGGTACAATATATCTAACATAAGACATGTTTGATCTTGATAGCACTGATCCATACCCAGATACTCTTTTTTACATTGGTAATTCCAATGATAATAATAACAATAATTCCAAGCATATGAAAAACTTAAAATTCAATGTCCCAACACGTTGGCATAGTATATTAATTATAGCCTATCTGGATTAAATAAGAATCTAATTAATAATATTTTGAAAAGAATTGGGAAACACTTTCTCAAATTATCAAACTATAAATCTGATCTGGTAGAAGAACCATTAAATGATAGTGATAGATCAGAAATCATTTCACTTAAGGAAAATATGCTAAAAAAACTTGCGTTACGATTTCCGGTTTGTGATCTGCAAATAATAATATATAAGTATCTAGGTATTGACTTCTCTTTTAGATTCAAGATTTCAAAAATTGACAATTGTGTCAAAGTATATAATAGAGCAGCTCAGCTTCTGAATTTATAATTAAGCATCTTAAACTTATAGAGAATGATGATATTCAGGTAATTAATATAGCTATTGAGGATCAAGGAGAATTATTAAATTCAAGTTATTTGACAAAATTGGCAAATAAACGTCCAAAAATACAAATTATGACTCCACATTAGGTGACTTAGAACAAGAATACCACATTCTTCTTGGAAAACGGCATTCACAAGATATGGATAGTCTAAATTTTTGGAGAGAATAGAAGAGTGAACTTCCCACAACTAGCCAAATAATTCTTTGTATTCCTGTGACTAACACATTTATTGAAAGAGTTTTTTCTACCGCTTGACGTTGAATTCAAGGAGATCAACATTATGTCCGGAAAATTTAAATAAAATAATTTTTATACATGATAATTATAAAATTACGAAATCGATTTTGGATCTATAATGCTCTTAAATAAAGATTAAAAAATATGCCGAGATATCTGTAGTGTATATTTTATTTTTTTTAAAACGAATGAAAATCGCGCCGGCCACCGATAGTTGTGTCGGCCCACAGAACTAATTGTATATAATGTTTCTATAATCGTTTATCCGAGAAATAAATACATTATAAACCCTATTAATGTGAAATTTTTTTGATAAAGTATATTGTTATTTAATAATTAAAAACTAATTATATATAATGTTTCTATAATCGTTTATCCGAGAAATAAATACATTATAAACCTTATTAAAGTAAAAAAAATTTGAAAAAGTATATTGTTATTTAGTAATTAAAAATTTATTGGAAATTAAATTTCATATTATTTATTTGTCAATATAATTTTATACATAATACAATATATTTATTTGTTACAAATCAAGAAACTAATATAAAAATGGCGTTGTAAAAAATTTTTTTAATACTAATTTTAATTTTTGAGATATTGAAGGAAAGATAGAACAAAGCAGTATTTTTTTTGTATCGTTTCATAACCTTTTTCAGCAGCTCTTTGTGCATCTGAATTGCCATGTTTTCAAATTTTCTCATGCAAACATCGTATTTTATATGTTCTGTCATGTTAATGGCTGCTATCAATTTTATAATTACACCCACTCAGACCCGTAGTGAGGAATTTTCAGATGAGGTAGGAGGGCAATTATTTGGGGGAGGGGAGGGGCAATATTTTCTGAAGTAAAATAAAAAGGCTGACAATTATAGTAATTTTTTTTTATTAGAAATATTTAAATGCAAATAACTATGTATATACAAAATAATATGTATATAATGCGAAGATTTTTATTTTTAAATTTTAACATAAATGACAAATGAAGCTAAATTTTGGATTATTTTTCTTCATACACCATTAGAACTATATATTATTATCGTTTATCTTTCATCGATTCTCTGATGCTCGATAAAATCCTCTTGAATGTAGAGAATGACTCCTACCAAGAAGCTGTTTATACCATAATGATAATAGTTGCTGAATAACATTTATATAATTTTTTATTCAATATGATACTATTCTTATACATAATATTAATAATATTTTTAAAATCATGTCTTTCTGCTACTTCAGCCGTAATATTTTCTTCGAGATTTTTATTTCATGATGAAATGTTCCAATATTATGGTTTAATAGGGACGCATTGGAAAGATTTTATCTGTAATATAATTTGGATCAAGGGGGACAATGTATTAAAAAAGGTAATAGGAAAAAAAAACCCCGGAATACCAACCAGAAAAAACCTCGGAATTTTTCTCCCATATTTATGGAATTTGTCACAAGAAACAATTCTCAATTCCAAACACTCGAATTGAGCTTGATTTTCTCCAGAAACTTGGAACGTGAATCAGAGCACTCTACGCACTAATAATCAATGAGAATATTGGAATCATCGTTTTTCTAATCTGTTTTTTTATATACATCATCATGATTTACCAATAAATTTAATATATTTTATTACAAAATTTTGTCAAATTTAGTCTACTTAATATCGTAATTAAGGATGGATATTGTATTTATTACTATAACAAATAATCTTAACGAAAATAAGGAATACATGGGTTATTTTACTGGGGTATTTTTCCCAATACCAATTTGAACTTCAGCATTTTATCTTGTTTGATCATTTTTTATGGAGGGTATATGTGAGTAACCTTTAAATAATGAATTAGGGCCTAAAGAAATTTAGCTTATTAATATATTCTATTTTTATAATATTTTTTTCTAAAATACTAATTTGTCTATACATTATAAATATGAGTATATCCATTATAATCCAAATATATATATACCTATATTATTAGGTCTTAGTAAATTCTATGAATATGAAAAAAAAATCCAGGGGTTTTTTCCGGTGGTTTTTTCCGGGGGTTTTTTCGGGATTCATTAAAACAGGATACAAGGTTATAATCATCGTTAGTAAATCTTTCTAAAAACCGTTCAACAAAATAATCAATTATTTCATAATAATTTCATTTTAAACTAGACAATCAAATTTTAATTTAGTATTAACAAAAAACATAAAGATTAGGCATTTTTCTAACACTTGAGGAGTTTCGTGGATCAGATTAGATTTATGACATAAGATTTTCTGCCTCCATCTTATCAAGTCGATGAATTTTAACCTCTTTTATTTTTTAATATATTAATTGTGGAGTCAACATAATTTCTAGCATCTATTGTTTTACGATAAAAAATATTAAAATTCCCCTTACTTTTTAGATAATTTCGAGCTGTATGCCCCCGTGCCCCCACCCCGACTATATCACTGATCTGAATGTATGTATAACCTTATAATAATCAAGCACAGCGATTTATATTTATAGTAGGGACCTGTCTAATATGTGAGGAAACCGAAAATCTTTTTCGTAAACTAGATAATGCTATTTTTTAATGACATTAATACTAATACCCAGACTGACGATTTATTTATTAAAATGCATTAAAAAGTATATATATTGAAGTCCGCGATTGAAACCATTTAGACAAAATATGAACACCATTTAAACGAAACTTTTGAGTGCCATTTACTATTGCCCGTGACACAGTTGATTTCAATGTATGCCTAGGAAATATTATTGTCACTGACTATTTTCTAAATATTTGAAAAGATTAAAAATAGATATAGTTATGTATGCACTATTAGTTTTAAATTTTCAAAAGTATAATTCTAATTTTGTTTACAGGTGCATTAGATGGAACTCTCAGGGTATGGAACAGTTCAAGGGGTTCTTTGATTACATTATTTGATTGCCACTATCCAGTGCTCAATTTCTGTATGTCTCCAGATGCGAGTCATTTAATAGTGAGATTAAATGATCCTCACGTTTTACTAATGTGCTTGCACAATAGTCCAGCTACGGAATACAAATCACATACCCAGTTGTCCACTTTAGATGAAGGTATAAAATTTCATTTACGATTAAATATAATAAGAATAAAACAAAAGCCAAAAAAGTTATTTAAAAAATAATAGATTTGTTGTATAGGACAAGATCTGTGCAGATAAAAACTCTTACTCCAAATAAATGTAAATGATTTAATTTTCTTAATTAATTTGTATAATTTATTTAGACACCTTTAACAACAAAATCTTACCGATCAAGATGAAACTCAACCGAAATTCATTGTATTTGGGCAAGAATTTGATACCTAAAATTAGTACTACAAACATTGACCAATCTATCGGAACTGTCTCAAACTTAAACAATTTATCATCCCTCTATGGCTCAGCTAGCATTAATAGTAATCAATCTATAGTGAAAAGCCTATCCAAGGGACCTATGTCACTAACTGGCAAAGGTCCCCAAAAACTTTTAAGGAAACAAGATTCAATGTCTAAAATATTTTTTCAGACACACCACCCATTTCCATGTAGTCCTAAAATGAGCGACTTAATTCCAGATATGAATATGGAAGCTAAGGATAAATTGACCGATGTAGGTGTTATAATGAGTAGTGGAATTCCTAACGATATTATAATGTTCAAGAAAAATATATTGTTAAAAAATAAAAGTACTGAAAATAATCAAGGACAAGCAATATTTTTGAAAACCATGACTTGCACAATTCAGTGATACTAATTTAACTCAAGACAGAAATGTTAAGAATCTCTATTAATTTTATATAATATGTATATACGTTGATCTATTCTAAACATATGGAATATGAAAAATTGTATATGAATAAAAGATAATTATTCTTGTCAAACATTATATTACTTGTAATTTTATTTGAATTACTTAATTAATAATAATATATTATATACGATAAACTAATTATATTAACTACTTTATTAATATATTTTTAAATCATTATATATATTATTTTGGTATATTTTTTTAATTAAATCTGATCAAAATATATAGTAAATAATATAATTCGTGCTCAAAATTTAGTGTTAAAAATAATAAGTATAAGAGTAAGGCCGGGAAATAATTATTTAAACAACGACTATATTTTATTAAACCATTTATTATAAACGAACTCTAACCCATAAATTTAATATTCCTAAAACAATTTTAAGAAGAGCAATGCAAAAATATAAAGAGACTTTGCAATGTCCCCATATGGAATGGAATTTAACTAGATTAATATTCACCAAACCTCAGGAGGAAATTTTAAAAGATAATTTAATACAAAACAAGTTAGCAAATTCATGGGGTTTAGCATAAATTTAAAATTATAAAGCATTTTTTAATGATAGGTTTTTAAATATTTAAACTAATGAATAAATAATAGGTCCTTTTACAATTATTTTATATTGTAATATTTCATACTTATAATAAAATTCTTAAATAATATATTATAACTTGCTAATACATAGTAAATGGCCAGTTAATACACCATATTTTGACAGGCCAGATAATCAACTTTCACATAACCTCATTCAAGAACTATTATTGAAAGATCAAGAATTATGCTACACATTGATATAATTTGTTTAGTTAAACCAAATTCTTAATCTTTTCATTTGAAAAGAGCAAAATCATGCCCAGTCATACCACATTTATCCTAAAAATGTTTTTATATATAATGCAATAAAAGTTCTCCAGGGAACTTGACTCAAATTTGGTGTGATGATAGACAAAAATCCGAATTTCAAAATGCAAATAGACCGTTGATGTATTGTGTGTATCTTGGAGATGGAATGAAAATTAAATTGAAAATCATTATTTTCTATAATCCACAAACAGTGTTGTTAAACGGATCGATTTGAGCCGATTTTTAAAATGGCTAACTCAATCATTGCCCAAAAAATATTGTCTAACTCGAAATTTTACTAATAAATGTTCAAATCTTTGTGCCATATTTTTGAATATAATATTGAGTTAGCCGTTTTTTACAATTTTAACAACACTATCCACACAGTATGATCATTTATTCTTAAAATCGTCCCGCAAAATTTTTCAAATTATATTGACCAGATTTAAGAGTAAAGAACATAAAAATTAGTGCAACACCTAAACCTATTAATATATCGAAAACTTTTTTAAGATAAATTTTTTTAATAATAATATAAATTTTTTTAATAATAATATAAATTTTTTTAATAATAAATAAATTTTATAGTAATAATTTACAATCTTTTCATGCTCCATTTTTTTTTTAAACTATAACATTCATAAAAAATAGAACTTGATTATTAAATTATAATTATTCTATTTTTACTTGAATTTTTTATTTTTTTTTAAGGCTGTGTCCAAAATGTTTTTGAAAAAATCCTTAAAATTTATAAATTTTAGAAAATTAATACCAAAACATTTTGGACACATTCAAGTTTTATAAAAATTAAAATAAGAATATTCAAAATGCTTAATTAGATTCAATTATTAGTTATTTAATAAAAGATACGTAAATATTTAATTGTATTTATTATTTTATATTACCTTTCAGTTATTAAACTTTGAATGAACTTATTATTATGGTCATATTTAAATATTATTTATATACTTAATAAATACCAGAGACCTGCAGGCCCGGCCCTAAACCCGGCCCGGCCTAAAAAAAAATTTTTTAAACATATTCGGGCCGGGCCGGGCCGGGCCTAAAAAATTTTTTTTTAAATATATCCGGGCCGCTAAGATTGTTAAACCCGGGCCGGGCCTTAATATTTTTTATAAAAATTTTTACATTATGGTTTGGTCATTGGCGTACGCAGGGGGGGGAGGGCAGGGGGACAAATTCCCCCCCCCCAAAGCCAAAATGCAGATGCCGGACATATTTTTCAAAAATATTATTTTTTATATTTTATTATAATTATTCATATCTATATCTTTTTAAATTTTTATATTATTACCTTTTTCATTTACTAATTTACTTTATCAATTAATTTCGTTTTCAAGTTTTCCTTGTGGCGTAATATTTATCTATTATTTTTAAATTTCCCGGTATTATAATTTTCAAATTTCTAGTCATGGATATTAGACTTTTTTTAAAAACGCTGAAGGTGAAAATCATGCCAAAAAGCAAAAAAGTACAGTATGATAATTTAATAAACAAAAGCTGTGAACTGATGATTTCCTCAAAAGAATCAATTCAAAAGGGGGATATGATTCCCATTTCATCAATAATTGATAAAAATAGGGTTAAAATTGCAAAAGAAAATAGAGGCAAGATAAAACTAACTATTGATGCTATTTTATATTGTGGCTTGCAAAGCCTAGCACTTCGTGGCCACAAGGATTCAGGAAGCTTAAATTTTAATAATAATGATAACGAAGGTAATTTCCGTGGACTTTTAACATTTAAAGCATTAGGAGATCCTGTATTAATGGAGAGCCTCATTAGTACCAATAAAAATGCTACTTATCTCAGCCCTAGGATATAAAATGAGATAATTGATATTTGCAACAATATCATTTTAGAAAAATTGATTGTTGAAATCAATTCTGCCCCATGCTTCTCAATTTTGGCAGATGAGACCACGGACATTGCTGGCATTGAGCAGATGTCGTTGTGTGCGCGATATGTAGATACTCATAAAAACATTATCAAGGAAAAGTTTCTCCAATTTATTCCTGTTTCAAGGATGACTGGGTCTGCTTTAGCTGATGTAATATTTGTGAATCTTAAAAAATTAAAAGTAATAATTAATCTTATTATATAATTATTTTAAAAAATATAGCTAAATATAAATATAATTACGTGGGCAAGGGTATGATGGAGCACGTGCAATGAGTGGACAATTCAATGGGCTTCAGGCATTTATTTAAAAAAAATGCCCAACAGCTATATATGTCCACTGTGCTGCCCATTCACTCAACTTAGCAATATCGGATTCATGTTCTTTACCATTGATATCAAATTGCTTAGGTTTTTAATTATTAAATTAAATTTTTTATATTTATATCAGGTAAAATATCTAGCATCTTCAAGATGTTTAGATATCCCAAGCGTCAAAATATTTTGAACAGAATTATATCTGAAACTCCTTGCCCAACAAGGAGAAAAAAATTGCAAAAAGTTGTCCAACAAAATGGAGTCTTCGACATCAAGCAGTAACAGCTTTTATCGAGTTAGAAGAGCCGATTATTAATGCTCTTATAGAAATATCACAATGTCTGAAAAAGATATTTCTTCAGAAGCAAGCAAGTTACTGGATTTAATACTTATACCAAATTTTTTTTTCGCATTAGAATGTATTAATAAATTATTTAATTATACAACTATTTTATGTAATACTTTTCAAAAACCTGAAATTGATTTGATTGAGATAATGAGAATAGCAGAGACAATTTTATTAGAACTCAAAGAAATTAGAGCTAATGCTGATGAGGAATTTCATATTTTATATGATAATGTTGAATCAAAAGCAAAGCTACACGAGTTCAATATTTGTCTCCCTCGACTTACAGTAAGGCAAACTTATCGTCCAAATATTAATATAGGGTCAATAGAAGAATATTATAAAATAAATGTCTTTATACCTCTTTTGGATACATTTATAACCCAAGTAAATGAAAGGTATTTAATTTATCAAGAAACACTTATCAATCTGCAGATATTACTTCCGCAAAAGCCCTCTGAACCTTTTTCAGATGGTGATAGAAAAAAAATAAAATATTTGGAAAATTTTTATCATGAAGACATTAATGTATCTCATGATGCTTTATTAGCTGAATGCCAACTATGGTATAAAAGATTAACTATGGTTGATATAGTCCCAAAAAATGCTATGATGCATCATTTCAAACATCTTTTAGATTATTTTCCCAATATATTGAAATTATTATATATATTAGCAACTCTTCCCATTAGTACTGCAACTAATGAGAGAACATTCTCTTCTTTAAGAAGATTAAAAACGTACCTAAGAAGTACAACTTCTGAAAGTAGGTTGAATGGTCTGGCCCTTTTGAATATTCATAGGCATTTGACGCCAAACACGGATGAGATAATTGAAAAATTAGCTCCCTCCCAACGAAGATTGGATTTTACATAATAAAAATATAATGTTTCTATAATATTTTTTGTGCTATCATTTTTTAATGCCTTATATATTTTTCTTTTACATAAAAAATATAATTATTCATATTTCCAACATTTAGATTTTTTATACTTTATATATAAATTTTAAAAGCTCAAAAAAATTTAAATTTCTATTATGGATTATTTATTTTATAGTCATCATATCCTGGTTATATCCACTTAATATTTTATAATTCAGATTTATTTAAAGTATTTATATGCCGCCGGTTATATTCGTTTAATATTTTTTAAATCAAATTTATTTTTATATATCGGTTTCTATATTTAATTTTTTATAATTCATATTAATTTAAATTTGTATATTAGAAATAGTTATTAGTCCTAATAATTGTATGCTTGATATTTTTAAATAACAATAATTTAATTTTAAAAAATTTTAATTATCCCCCCCCCCCACACCAAATTCCTGCGTACGCTACTGAGTTTGGTTATAAGATTATATTATATTATAGTTATGGTTAATATAATATTCGGTGATGGTTAACACTACCTAACACCCACAGATCGATCTAATTATTAATTTCCTGCAAATTTATTCAAAGTATTAACATATTTTTTTATAATTCATATCTAAATTTTTACAACATATTTTACCGAAACAATCAAATAAAGGAATATCTTAAATAAGCCCCAATATTCAAGTGTTATTAATATATTTTTTTATAATTCATATCTAAATTTTTAGAATATATTTTACCAAAACAATCAAATAAAGGAATATCACTTCTTGAAGTTTGTAATACCTTTCAAAGCGAAAAAATAGAAAT